TAAGTATCTTTCATTTCTGCTATGCTTTTTACAGTATCTTCCGCATGCAATATATAGTGAATTAAACATCGATTGAAAGTAAATGGTGCTATTCTGATGCCTTCTGTCGGCGTATTATCACTGATTCGGGGATACGAGATATTAGACATGTTGCTTTTACATTTGTACACCAGCACAAGCGCAAGAAATGCGCACATACAGTAAAAAAAGTTTGGAAATATTATGTGTGATCGTTCCGATGAGTATCTACCCATTCGCATATAACCTGCGTTGATTTTAGGCATAAAATTATGAAATATAAGATGTCACTATAACATGCATCCAGAGACATAATACCCCTGGCAGCTAATAAAATGAATGAAAACAAGTCGACTAACGTTATTTGAAAATCGTCACGCGAACAGTGCATTGTCACATAGTAATCTCAAACTCAATGATTCGTGTTTCATTTCAGGCGTCTTTTCCATAACTTTACCTACTTTATGTTCTTTTACAACGTGTTCCTTGGAATTGTATCGTGTTTGATAAGATTATTCAAATCGATTATAATCAGTGCATTCGTGATGTCACGTATTGATCAAAGTACGCTCCCTAGAAAATATGAAAGATTCGACCCAGGTAATGAAAAGTTACTTTCGCTACCAGTTTATATAATTGACAATCATTTCGTATTAATTTTCGTATTTCTCCGTGGTGTGTAAACAAAAGGAAAGAACAGAGAGCAAAAACTTTGGTGATTTTATGTACCAAAAAAGTTTTAAAAAAATAGTGGGGATTAAATCCCGCTTCGATTAAGTTCGAATGACAACAATCAAAGTTGCATTTACTTATTACGTATTATAATTATGTTTAGGTTACAGAGCTTACGTTGGATTTTTACAATTAGAGAATGCTCATACCCATCCGATTCTGGTGACATTCTGCAACTTATTGATGAGTGCTGTCAATGAGAACTCTGCGAAATCGCCAACTAAACATTCTCAAATGCAATTGGTTGTTAATATGGAAAACGGCATTGAAGGTCAGAGCTGGTGTTAAATTACCAACTTTTTATGATATTGTAATGCTATATTTAATAATTTATATTTCATGGCAATTGCTGGACATCATTGGTTCATATTATTAGATGAAGGATTGCTTTGCGGCCATGTTGCTTCATCCCTATATTTATATAACTATTTTGATTTATTGACAGAAGCAGTTGACACTGGTAGTAATCGTATTGTATCAGTTTCTCGGCGTCGACAAGTTATACGCAATAGGTGGTTTGTAGCCTTGACCTTGGCTCGTAATCCTGGATTACAACTAAAACGCTACAAATGTGACCCGCAAGTAGAAATGGAGGGAATACCTGCTGTCA